CTTTGCTATTTCCAAACCATTTTTTTTTTTAAATTAACTAAAGTTACAATGATATCTGTCAGGAATACCTGAATAACCCTTCACATGTATATATTTTTTGAAAGTATACAACCTAAGATATTAAACTTGGGGTATTCTGACTCTTTTCATGCAACCATTTTACCACCAATCTATGCCAAATTTAAAAAAATGTATAGGTGTGTCGGGTTCTCTGGGGGCTAAAAGACCTTATTTGGAGGGTGCGCATTACAGTTTTCCCGGTTTAAGGCATTTTTTAAGCAGGCCAATGTAATTTACCCCCATCAAACCATATATTTTCAAAAAGTAGACAGGGCAATCAGGATCGTAAAAGACGGTGTCCTTTTTTTGCCCCCTTTTGAAACAGACTTTGAATCTTTTTTGAGGATTCTGCTTTGCCGCAGTAGGGGGGATTTTAAAAATAAAGTGGGTAACCCCAACTCTGCTGTCTCCCATCACCGCCCGGAGACCAGGTGTGTGAAGAATCCCCCTCCATTCATTCGGTACTTTCCCTCCCTGCTACTTTATTCATGAATTTATTACTGTGACGAAGGGCCTTCGCCACTTGTGCCTGGAGAGGACTGCTTGCCCGCCTCTTGCCCTGTGACTATGGACCCTGGGAGATTTGGCCCGTTCAATTCAGTATGATAGGAGTTATGTATTTTTGTATCCTTTTGTGTTTTACTGGGAACATGTGCTCAATGGAGTCTGCCTCTATCCCTGGATAATTGGATTATTTTCCCCATTGTCTCCAGGATAGAGGGCTCTGTAAAGGCCCCAAAAGATACTTTACTAACTTCTGAACCCCTGGTCTGATTCATGCCATTTTTTGATATGTTGTTTCCCTGAATGGATTGATTGTGAATATATTAAAATAAAATAATTTTTATGTGAATGTGATGTATATTTTAGAAGTTATGAATATGCTGTAAAAACTGTATTTTTCCTGCCTGTGATAATTGCATCTTCTATTGTATAAGATAATTGAATCACAGGTAGAGGGGAGGATTTTGTGTGGGCTGTAACCTCTGTTTTATTGGCTACTGTAGATAACGTGTGTGTCCCTCCCCTGCATGGGAGCAGGGCATAAAAGAAACTGTAGCTTGAATACCTGTGGTTGTTACTTCCAGTAAAGTCTTGTTCCAGCATTAAGCTTTGGCTCATGTGTGGATTATTTGGCGATTCCAGGGATATTTCTACTTGTGGAATATTGGGTGACTTTTTTTTATGGGAAGAAGGGAATGCTTGACGGTGATACCTTATACTACCGTCACAAGGTGCATCTTGGTACAAAATCCACAAAATGATATGGAGCTGAAACTGTAAAAAAAGTCTGTTTCATTCCAGGGTTTGCTTTTTTTTTTTACATTATTTATTTTTGCTTGAGTGGTAGACAGTGCCATGTACAGCAATATCAACATATATAAACAGTAATGTGACAATAATGGTAACAGCGTTGACATCATTAGTGAAACAGAGGTTCCGATGGGCACCTTGCAAGTAAACAGTTATGCATGACAAAGGAAAAACATGAGTAGAGTGTTGCGGTGGGTATGAGCATGTTTGGGGCCAAGTCTATGGAGGCTGCTAGCCATTACGTGTGACTTGGGAGCCCCTGTCTCATCTGTGGTATACCACCGGAAGTTGCAAGTTCCATTTGTCCGCCTGCTGTCAACAGGGTTTATAAGTCACCTGTATGATGTCCACCTCTCAATTATTTTATCGGTCAGGTGAATACATGTCCAGAGAGATTGTATGAGAAAATAAGAAGAAGGGTTGGAGGGAGAAGAAAGGGTAGGGAGGAGGGAGAGGGAGTTGGGTTCAGCATAGAACTGGGTTAGCAAGGAGGGCTGAGGTCAGGGGCGGCGCCCAGGCACCCCCCACCCCGGGACCACTCAGGCTGCAGCATCGGTCAAGTCAGGTCGTCCCATCCAGGTAGGGCTCCCACACCTTCCTGAAGATTTTCAGTGAACCCGGACCTGGGCGGTCAGCTTATCCATTAATTATGTGTCTTTTAGTATTAAGGTGACCAGGTCGATGGATGGGACTTCGGATCCCAGCCAGGATTGAGCTATGGATCTTCTAGCAGCTAGTGCAATTTTGTGGATCAGTTTTTGTTCTGGTCTAGTCCAGCCGTCTAGTGGCCTAGACAGTAATAGTACCCATGGGTCCAGTGTCAGAAGTCTCTGGAAAACATGCGTTATGAGGTATGTGACTTTTCCCCACAGCGTTTGTATCCGGGGGCAGTCCCACCAAATGTGTTTGTACGTCCCTCTCTGTCTGCATAGTCTCCAACATTGGTCTGTCGGTGTTTTACGCATGTGATAGAGCTGGACCGGGTTAGTGTACCATCTGAACATCGTTTGGAACGATTGTTCTTGCATCATGACACACAGCAAGGTCCGGCCGTTAGCCTCCCAGACGTCTTGCCAGTCAGTCCCTTCCAATGTCTCCACTATTTCTGTTTCCCACTGGTTCCCATTCTGTAGTGTTGGCACATAAGTGGGAGTATAGCCTAGTGATGAGGCCCTTTTGGTATGTTTCTGCATCGCATATATGTTTTCAAAGAATGTTAGCTGTGTACAGGCTGCTTTTTTGACGTTTGGGGTTTGGGCAAAGTTCCTAACCTGCAGGTACCTAAAGTAGTCAGAGGTTATTAGATTTGTGTTATGTTTGAGTTCGTTGTATGTAATGATATTGTCTCCTATGTATAGGTGATGTAGTCTCTGGAGACCCACGTACTCTAGTCCCTTGAAGTCTCTAGGTCTCATTCCAGGTAAGAATGCTCTGTTACGTAGTATGGGCATCATGGGGGAGTATGGCGTTGTGAGGTTATATTTGTGGCACATTTGTCACAGACCCAGAGGGAGGCCAACACCGCCGGATATTCAGTTCGTAAGAACGTCCTCTGGTCTCTAGGGGCCCAGTAGAGATTCTAAATCTACCCATCTGCGGGCATCGGGTGGCGAGTGCCACAATGTGATTTGTGTCAGTTGGGCTGCTAGGAAATAGTGGTGCAGATGAGAGAGGCCGAGGTCGCCCGCCAACGTAGGATGATATAGGACATTGCGTGCCACTCAATGTCTCTTTCCCTGCCATACAAAGGTATCTATGGCTTTTTGAAGAGGGCTTAAGTCTTTCTTGTCAAGTATATGGGTAAGGCTTGAAATAGGAATAGTACGCATGGGAGAATGTTCATTTTGACAGAATGGATTCTGACAATCTATGATATGGGTTTATCTGTCCATCTCTCCAGGTCTTCCATCAATGTCTTGAACATGGCGGCATAGTTGAGTTGGAAAAGTTTGGTGGGGTCTGTTGGTAGCCTGATTCCCAGATACTTGATGGATTCGTGTGCGAACTGATAAGTGTTTCGTACCAGTGCCGTGTCTGCCACAGAGAGATCTATTGTGAGCGCACTAGATTTCTCCATATTTATTTTATACCCGGAGAGTGTTCCGTAGTGACTTAAGAGTGATGACAGGGCTCGCAGGGAGTCCACTGGATGTGTCAGTGTAAGAAGGACGTCATCCGCATAGCCCGAGACCCGATATTGCTGTGCCGCTACGTCTACTCCATGTAGCTCTGGGTATGGGTGTTCTCTGATGGACTGGAGCAAGAGTTCCATCATTAGGATGAACAGTAGTGGTGATAGGGGGCAACCCTGCCTCGACCCGTTCATCAAGGGGAAAGGTCTGGCTTTCGCTCCAGTGATCTTTATTTGTGCTGCTGTATTCGTGTACAGTGCTATCACTGCCGTGATGTAGGGAGCCAGAAACTCCAAATGCTCCAGTAGGGTGAACATGAAGGGCCACATCACTCTGTCTAACGCCTTCTCGGCGTCTAGAGACAGTGCCAGAGAAGGTGTTCATGATGTCATCAGTTTCCAGACTAGGTCGATATTCTGTCGTGTATTCTCGAAGAGTTGTCGTCTGGGTACGAAACCCACCTGGTCTGGGTGGACCAGATGTCCCAGGAATGGGTTGAGTTGCTCTACTAGGATCTTAGCAAATAGTTTTGCGTTGTGGTTGATTGGGGAAATAGGTCTGTATGTGTCAGGTATAGCATGGCATGTATTTCGTCGCCGGAACCCACTTCCGGGTTCACGGCGCTCAGCCCCGCCCTTTTTTCTGACGCGGTCCCTCCACGATACTTAGGAAGACCGCGCCAGATTCAAAGGGCTGGATTATTCGCACAGGTGCTGCAGA